TAGAGCAGATTATGCTAAGTGAACCTAGCCAAGCCCTAAAAAACAAATGCCAAATGTCATCTTTGATATAAGGAGAGCAACTAAGAACAGAATAGGGAGGAAGAGCATGAGAAGAAGATGACCATTAAACAGGGTGGAAAAGGGGGAGGGAAAGAGAGAGAGAGAAGGGAAATTTCATGGTAAAGTAAGGAGACCCTCATTGTTATACAAAATTACATATAGGAGGAAGTGAGGGGAAAGGGGGAAAAACAAGAGAGAGAAATGAATTACAGTACATGGGCTGACTTTCTGAAGACACTGGGTCCATTGTGGGTTGCTGGATATTATCCCCCAACCACAGTGTCAGCTCCATGGAATCCCCAGAAAATCACAGCACAGAATTCCCCAATGGTGTTCAAAATCTCATGCCAGGGAATCCTATGAATGGACAGGATCAAGAGGCAGACACTGAAAGCAGAAAATTCTTAAAGCTGGTCTTGGTTTAAAGCACACATAGTACCCACCTCCATTGTCTTTTAGGGACTATTYGTTATTTAATGTGTCTTTGAGGCTATGTATGTGTTTCCCCTTGAGTAGTTGAGCTGAGCTTCATTTCTAGATACTTCTCCACCACTAAAAGACATTGAGACTTCAACAAATGCAAAAGCAAGTACATTTTTGGAAAACAAAATATTGATGTCTCAAAAGTCATACCTTGTATCTTGGTTGATTATTTTGTTTTGTGTAAGTTTGATATTTCCCAAACATCAACTAAAATCCAGTTATATTTGTAAACTACCCAAGAAACTTAATGATTAAGGTAAAAATAGTCAAGAGTAGCAGTAAGTTGGTATAGGATTGCAAGTTCCATTGTACTTTCTAATGTTACCATACCAGGGCCATTTAGTAAGTAGTTGGGATCCTTGGCATCTTAGACAACCGAAAAGAACATCATTTCATTTGATTTGGAGAAATTTAGAGCAAATAATTGGTGTCATACTGTCTGACCTCGTGAATACAGGGGCTGTTGAGGACTCCAGCATAGCTCAGAAATGCACATTCTTATATTGTAAGAACTGAATCATACCCACCATGTCAAATTGAAGTACAGATCATCCTTTACACATTTTTATTCCATGCATAAACATACATAGTATCTTAAAGGGAATTACAGTTGGATTTACAATGGGTAGTTTTTGTTTTATTATATTTAATTTTTATTCCACATTACAGTAGAATCCATTTTGACATAATTATACAAGCACAGAATACATCTTATTCTAATTCAGACCCCAGTACCTCTCCTTCCATTTCCATCTTTCCACCCTGCTTCCTTTCCTTTATTGATTTTCTGTCATTTGTTCATAATTTAAAAAGAAATAATTTGTTGTGGATGTACATGATGGTGATGTTCACTCTGATATATTCGTATGTGTACATGGAAAGTTATTCAGATCCATTCCACTGTTGCTTATTTTAAGGATAATGAGCTAAAAATGTTGAACATGGATATTCTGAATAGACTTACATAAGAACAATGAAATCTCTTGCCCAGTGTTTAATGTTTTCCACATTTCAGCTTCTTTCCAGTTCCAGAATGGTCTAGATCACACCGCAGTCAATGCGGGGATACCATCAGGAGCGAGGACCTTTTGCATGCTCCTTGACTGTTTCTCCTTCTGAGAAGTCCATCCTGAGTGCCCTCCTGTAACCTATGTGCATGCAGCCTATTGGAGCTTGCAGCCTGTCAGGTCCCTCCCGTGCCAGTTACAAAGATGCACACAGTTATGTGGATTCTGCATGCTCACTTCCCTCGGCAGAGGTAGATGAAAGGGATGCAGGTCACCATCAGGCATTTCTGCTGAACAGATGAAGGAAGACAGACCCAGCCCCAAGCCTCACTTATTCCTGGAGGGGCTTCATTTGTAAGACCCTGCTTCATGAGTGAGCAGAGATCAAGGGCAGCATGCCCCAAGCTCTGGATTGAATGCCTCCAACTCATTAGTAACAGAGTCCTTGAGGAGATTTTCYCTTTCATCTTACACTCCCTATAAACAGGCCACATGACTTTGATTAGTGAATACATTTAAACTCATATTAATTGTAACAATTTATTTATGTTTACTTTCTTTGKGGTGCTTCTAGAGACTCAACCCAAGGCTTCATGCATGCCAGGTAGACACTCTWCCACAGAGCCACATCCCCAGCCCTARCTGTAACAATKTAGATTCTATTCACCCTCATTATAATGAGATGTCCCCTTGAAAACCCCATGGACATCAGTAAATATCAACCCACAACAAGAGAAGGTCTCAGAACAATAGAGCTTTAAATATTGAAGATGGACAAAAATAACAGTATCTGTCATCCATCAGGCACTTGTTGTGTGCCAGGTACTAGACTTGGGTTTTGTAATGTCAAATTATTGAGTTGTTACAAAAAGTCTTAGGAGGTAGTTTTTTCATTACTTTAAAGGAAAAACTGTGGCTCACAGTTGAAGTAACCAACCCACAGTTTTAGAGCTTTTAGTTGGGTTTGAAGGGTTTTGCTTAACAACTTTTGAGCATTTTACTTAAAATAAACTTTATTGATTTTTTTTTCTGAATACAATACTATCGAATAGTCTAAGTCTTGGGCCTGTGACAGTGTGACATTGGCGGGTTGCTGCSGTACGTTGTTTGACCTGGTGGCCTTGCTTTTCTCCCATGTTTGGTGCACAGCAGCAGTTGCAGGACATAGAAGTCARTTCTTTCTAACCCATATTTTTTAAGCCTTGCCTTGGCCTGTTCACTTGTTCTGGCCAATTATGGAACTCTGACATTCCCCTGAGGATATATTCCGCCAAAACATGGAAGCCCAAAGTTTTGAAGGATGAAAATAATTTACCTCAGATATATTTAAAGAAATAATCTATACATCTCAAACTTTGGAAGGATTATGGCTTCTAATAGTGGATCTACCCATTAAAATAAATTTTAGTATTTGGTAGATTTAACAGAAAATTGAATTAAAATTATTTTTTTTGAAGAATCAAAATTCCAGTCAGCATGGGATATTTTCTACATCTCAGCTCTTGCTAATATTACTTTTGAYTTTGTCTTTGATTTATTTAAAAAGTTTCCTTAGGACATATTGTTACTTGGTCACAGCTCAGGTATCATGAGCCCAGCACCTTGAGACAGGATCATACTGTTTTCCTCAGCTGGGAAAAAGATCCGATTCCAAAGTCCAAGTATGGTTTCTATTAGGTGAACATGTATCGCTCTTGCAGCAACATGAAGTTGAAAAATCATAAGTTGAACCATTCTAACTCAGGAACTATCCATAATCAGTTTTTTTCCTACCATGTTCACTATTACAGTATTTTATAACTTGCCTTTGAATATTTGTGTAAGTTTCTGATCTGGGATAAGAAAACTATGGCCCATGGGCCAGATGTAGCCTACCACCTGTATTTGCTTTCATTTTATTCATTTATTTTTATTGGTGTGTATTGATTATGCATAATGGTGAACTTCATTGTGGCATATTGGTACATGCATATAACATAATCKGATAAATTTTGCTTCTAAATGCCTCCCTTACTCTTCCCTCCTCCTTCCCCTTACCTACTCCTTCTATCTTAGTGGCCCTCCTTCTACTTTCATGACATTGTTCCCCTATTTTTCTCCCTCACTAGTTTCCACATGTGAGAGAAAATGTCCCATACCTGTCTGACTCTATAGCTTATTTCACTTAACGTGGTGCTCTGTAGTTCATGTTTTCCTGCAGATGATATGATTTTCTTCTTCCATGTGGCTGACTAAAATTCCTTTGTGTATGTATACCACATTTTCTGTATCCATTCATCTACTGGCAGACACCTAGACTGGTTTCAAAACTTGGCTATTGCTATCACTTGTATTGTTATGGTCCATGAAAAAAAAAAGAAGAGTTTTTACATTTTAAAATGTTTTATGTATGAGTAATTAAATTACAGCTTTGATTTTATTCCTTAGAATAAAAATCCTAGAATATCTACTATCAGGCACTTTACAGAAAAAGAAAATTGCTGATCTCTCTTCTAGTGAACTGTAATTTTCTGTTGTAACAACCTGCTTAGACTTACAAACACAACAAGTTCATATTAAGATTTGGTTTTTGACATAATGCAATGTGAAAAGATTCTAGAAGTGGAGTGAAGGAAAGGTATAGATCTGTGACTTTGCTGAGTTCTTRGACTCTGGAATACAGGCTGTGAGATGGTGTCCTGCCTGTCCCTTCACGCTGTGTGTGTCCCTTGCAGGCCAACTTGGTGGTGCAGGAGAATCGCCATGTCCTGGCAATGCAGGATCTGCATAAGGCCCAGGATGAGCTGGATGAAAAACAAGCAGAGCTCGATGTGGTGCAGGCCGAGTACRAACAGGCCATGACTGAGAAGCAGGTAGCCATTCTTGGGCGTGAGGGGGACTGTCAGGCACTACTTGGCTATTGTAATCCTTCCTTCGTATTCTGTTTCTCTCTCCAAGGGTTTGGTCTTCTAATATGCCATTGTAAGTTAAATAATCCTTTATTATTAGACTTTATGTRTGTATATGTATTAAATCATCAAAATTAATCTGGTAAAGATTTCTATGACATGTATATTTATTATTATAAATGACCACTGAATGACTGCTCAAATAGCTAATTATTTGTTCACACTCATTTTATTTCACAAGTATAAATTTTTTATAGGAAGAATCAGCAGCTAACTTTTAAGCATAGAGAAATGGAATCACTTGTTTTTGAGAACTAAGCCCATGGGCTGGGAATGTAGTTCAGTGGCAAAGCTGGTGCTTAGCACAGGGAGGGCCTGGGTTCAAACCCCAACACCCAAAACACCAAACAAGAAGCAAACAAAATTTAGGCCTAMAGTCAAGAGCCTGTGGAAGTCTGGGTTTAAGGTATATTATTGCCACAAAGTCAAGTGTGGCTCAGATTTGCGTAGGAGCCTCAGGTTCCATATCTGATGGTAATTAATCTAAATTTCATCTAAAGTATGGAAGGTGTGGTGTGAGATAGAGCAGCAATGATACCAGAACTTARCATGAGAGACTTTCTCATTCTTGACTAGGGATATGTATGTCTTTACATTTTTTTTTGTACTATGTGATATTAGCATGTATGCTTGTATTCTGTCTCTAGTTTTTCATTAAAGGGAAATCATCAGTGATGTGAATTTCTGTAGTCACTTAGTTATTAACATCTGGGAGGGTCTGGCCACTTGGCTCAAGGTACCCCCTGAAGGAACTTGCCCAAGTTCCTTGGACAGGCATTAGAGATGGGACTGGACTGAYGCAGACACATGGAAACGGGATCTTACGCTTTCTGTGAAATGAAGGGCTCAAAAGTCCCAGAGGGCAGAWACTGTATGTCTTAAAGTTGTCTTTTTGAGCCAGAAGCTATGTTTATCTCAATAAAAGTCTTCTKCTGGTTACGTCCTTTTCAGACCTTGCTTGAAGATGCAGAGCGGTGCAGACGTAAGATGCAGACGGCGTCCACGCTCATCAGTGGCTTGGCAGGTGAAAAGGAAAGATGGACAGAGCAAAGTAAAGAGTTTGCAGCTCAAACCAAAAGACTCGTAGGTCTGTGGATTCTTTTATTAATGAGATCATGTTGATAGTGATGGGGAGTTAGGAAGCCTCAGTTTTAATCAAATAGGACTTGATGATTCCAATTTTCATTGTGTGTGTGTGTGTGTGTGTGTGTGTGTCTGTCTGTCTGTCTGTCTGTCCGTCCATCTCCAGTCACTTCAGAGAGATGGACATCTATGCTCTCCACACCAAAGTGATCAGGTTACTTTGGAATTCTCCTGTGAGTATGTAAGAATATTGATCAGGGGCATTTTGAATGAAGGTTCTGTCTTCTGACCTGTTGTGTCTCTTAACTTGCAACAAAACTTGCAACAAAAATTGAAATAATCCAGTGCCTGACTACTAGCAGCTCTTCTTTGTTCGGCTATTTGGATGGTTTAACAATGTACAAAACTCCTGCTTATTCACACAGCATGGCAGCACAGGGTTACAATTTGATTTGTGGAATTCAGTTTTAACAAATGGTCATCAATTCAATTGTTTTGAGTTTTGATGTGCTGAAAAATTAGAAGAATGATCATAACGTGTTTCAGTGGTGTTCGTTTTCTGTTTTAGGTGATGTATTGTTGGCTACAGCTTTTCTGTCTTATTCTGGTCCATTTAACCAAGAATTTCGAGATTTGCTGCTAAATGATTGGAAGAAAGAAATGAAATCCAGGAAAATTCCATTTGGGAAGGATCTAAATCTCAATGAGCTGTTGATCGATGCCCCCACTATTAGTGAATGGAACCTCCAGGGTCTGCCCAATGATGACCTGTCCATTCAGAATGGAATCATTGTCACAAAGGCATCACGCTACCCTCTGCTAATCGACCCACAGACTCAAGGCAAGATCTGGATTAGAAACAAAGAAAGTGGCCATGAACTCCAGGTAATTTGTATTCCAGGCTATTTATATTGCTGATAAGTTTTGCTTCCCAGGATYACTAGCAATCCAAAACAAAGAAATGTTTGAAAGCCTTATGGATTCTTTTTTGATAATCCTAGATGCCAACAGTTACATTAACAGATGGCAGCTTAAATCTGATAACAGAAACTTTCCCTAAATCTCATATTTGCTCTTGTGTTTATCCCTAGGAATGCCCTCTTCCAATGGTGTCAGACTCTGTTCTGTTGGGCCTCCGGCTCTCTTTAATAAACAGGGGGGCAGAGCTGTATTCCACTATGTRTACAGCACTTCCTCATTATTCCATGTCTGTCCCCAAAGGGGTGTTGGTGAGGAGAGAGGAGTGTTGCCAGGCAGCCTTTATTTACTGCTTCCAGTATAGGGAAGAAGGGTTTTCCAGAGTCAAGGATTTCTAGAAACCTCTTTGTCCCCCCTGAGAGAATGCTTTAGGCATCATGTGACATCAGTCGTCTGTCTCTGTGCATAGCATCGTGAGGCTTGCAAGAGTAATGCTGAGATCCTGTTTCTAGATCACTTCTCTCAATCACAAGTACTTCAGAAACCACCTGGAGGACAGCCTCTCTCTTGGGAGGCCCTTGCTCATTGAAGACGTCGGGGAGGAACTGGATCCAGCTTTGGATAATATTTTGGAAAGAAACTTCATTAAAACCGGATCTACCTTTAAGGTAGGTCAATCCTGTTGATAACAGTGTGCAGAATACTGACAGGAGACCAGGTGACTTYGACATAGATGAAATTCTCTCAATAAGCAGCCACTCGTATCAGAGGGTGGCCAGAGGTCCTTTTCTTTTCTGCCCTTCCTGAGTTGGGCTTGAAGTGTTCAAGAGCAGTACTGTCAGGCATGCATGCTTTACTTCTGGAATGAGGAGGCCGATTCCACTGGCTATCTGACGTTGGATAGATTTTAAGCCCCTTCCTTCCACATGTGGGAGAGCTGATAAGAAAGCCTGGGTGCTTCTTCCCTCGGCACTGGTTGGAAATTAAGACCACACAGACTCCTGCCTAGGCCTGTTCCTGCCTCTTAAACGCTGTACAACCCCACGCCACCTGACCTGTTCCTTCAAACCACTTTTGGTACTTGCTTGGGGGCTGGCTCTTATCTCTCCCAAAGAAATCTCAATATGTGAACACTGAGCCTTTCATAGCCTTTTGATCCATGTTTGGCATCRTCAGTCTCAATCTCTGAAACAAATTTTTCAGAGGTTGTTGCTCCTCTGTTGGGTGAGGGCTCCAGCTTGCTTCTGTAGTGTGATCACAACAATTTTGGTGCCAAATTCTGTATTTACTCCATGGTGTATATTGGAAGGTACTGGCCAGCCTTCCTTTCTTCCTTGTCTCTCAGTGGGTCGAAGCCCTGGGAGTACCTAGTGACCTTTCTTTTTTAGTATACAAATTATCTCCAGTTGAAAAACTCTTTAAAGCAATATTTGATCCTATATGAAAGGGCACAGTAAAGTGTATCTTTCTTTTATTACTTTTTTTTTTAATGGAAAAGGTGAAAGTTGGTGACAAGGAAGTAGATGTCATGGATGGCTTCAGACTGTACATCACCACCAAACTGCCCAATCCAGCCTACACCCCTGAGATAAGTGCTCGGACCTCCATCATCGACTTCACGGTCACCATGAAGGGTCTGGAGGACCAGCTCCTGGGGAGGGTCATTCTCACAGAAAAGCAGGTGAGTCAAGTGTGGCAGCTTCCTCTTCTGCATTGAGCTGAACCTTCCACTGAGGAAMATAATATGAGAAAAGTTGTCATAGGGCTGTGCTTTCCCACCATAATTGTGTTTTCTCCATTGATTCACAAGTATCTTTCTTCTACCTAAAGAAAATGATTCACCATTTATCTACTCATATATTTCTTAAATAACCCTGTTATTAATTACTTTCTCCACACTAATATGATGTTAKCTGCTTCTTTTTTTGCATTATTATTCTGGTATTTTGTTGCTTTATTTTTCTGAAAAGTTTGTTCTACTGTGAATTCTACTCACCTGTCGACCTTTGGTATTCTAAACATGTCTAGGTTGTACTTTCATTTGATTCCTTATTATACTTTTAGAATATTAGGTACAAATTTTGTACTCAGACAGCAAACACTGTCAGTTCTGAATTGTTGTCTAAGAGCTCTTAGATAACACAGTGGGTCTGGTGTGAGACTTTAGAAGTTGTGACACTGGAGTTTGGTTGTGCACCCTCTGGAGTCTGCTCACTTAACGATGCTCTAGAAACACAACTCTGTGTCTCTTTCCTTTGCTTCTTTTTAATGAGATAACTTAATGCTCAGTGAAAAATGGTTAAGGATTTATAAACTTTCTTTTTCTGAGTCAGCATTTCTTCTAGGGAATATGCAAACTTAAGCAAAGAAATGTGGAGGATTTTTAAAAAATATTTATTTTTAGTTTTAGGTGGACACAATATCTTTATTTTATTTCCATGTGGTGCTGAGAATCAAACCCAGTGCCTCACGCATGCTAGGCGAGCACGCTACCACTTGAGCCACATCCACAGCCCCAATGTTGAGGATTTTAATGAGACTGTTGTGGCAAAGCTGCCTGAATTCTGGAAGCTGCTGTGGACTTCCTCCTGGGCTCCTCAGCAGTGAGGAGCTGAGTTTTCCCTAAGGCCCCTTCTATGGGTCCTGAAGGTTTATCTGCAGGATCTTTGCATCTGCACCTCCCACTGTCTTAACCCTTCCTGTGGGTGGCTCTTGCAAGCTCTGCTATGTGTCTATCTCATGCTTCTTCCCTTCCTTTCTCTTTCTTCCTTTGGATATTTTAGAACCATCTCTCTTTATTTTTAATTTACAGAACATGAATCATAGAGACAGAAAGTTGGAAGTTGTCTTAGGAGCACTTACTCCAGCTTCATCAGTGGGTGCTGTTGGTTGACCTCAGTGTGGCAGGAYGGATGCCGGAGCTCCGCCACAGACTAGCGGTTGAGGCAGTAACAGCCTTCGAAATGCATACTTGTTTATGTTGGAGTCCTGAATGAAGTCTCAGTGGAGGTAGTTAAGGAAATTTGGCAGTGCCACGTAATTACTTGAACAAGGACTGGGATTTTTGATTAACACCGTGGACTGTTGAGCAAGCAGGAATCCTGAGGGCCTCTTGGGCCCACACCCATCACTGGGCTCTGGCTCCGTGGCTGGGGTGAGGGAGATAAGGGACTTTGATAGCAGTTTGCACGATATCCTTGTTGTTGGTTTTCTTAAAGTCAGCTGAGACCAACACACTTTCCTTGGAGAAGGTAATTTGGCCAGACAGGTGTTGGTCACAACAACAACAACAATAACACTCTCACCAGCACTGAGCCTGACTTGCTGCAGCTTGAAGCTCCTTCAGAGAGATAATGAATGCCTTGCACGGCCCGTAGGGATCCAGAGCTGAGCTTGCTTCTCGGGAAAATTGAGTGTTTGAGAAAATTACGCCTTTACTATTGTCTTGTTATCAGAATCTGCTACAGGCTTACAATAAATAGTTCTTACAAAAATATATGAATTGTCCTCTTTTACAACAACTGGGGGCCATATTACCCTGAACCCCATTATAAGATAACACGTAGCCTTTTTATTCTTTTCCAATCTAAAGTCTCATCATGCAAGAAGTGGGGTGCTGGGCTTCCCTTTGAGGGACTTTAACAAGTCTGCTTTCTCCAAGAGAGTTTTTCCTTTACACCCTTTACTCTTCCCACCAGATCCCCAAATCTGCTCACAGATTGCTGAATCTTCTCAGCCTGGGTGGTGACGGTGGGTTTGAGTTGATCTCTGATGACTTTGAGTCATTTTCCATAATCTAGATAACAAGAAGATGCTAAAAAGAGACCAGTATTACAGGCTCACTGGTGGTGGAGGAAAAATCAACCCCTAAGTTTTCTTGTTTAATCTTCCTATTTCCTATGTAGGGTACAGAAGAAAAATTACCTTTGATGATGCTGGATGATACCTTTAAAAATTGCTTCTTAGCCTTATTCTTTTTTTGGGGGGGGGGTACTAGAGATTGAACCCAGGTGTGCTTTACCACTGAACCCTTTATATTTTATTTAGGGACAGGGTCTCACTCAGTTGCTTAGGCCCTTGCTAAATTCCTGAGGCTGGCCTTGAAATTGGATCCTCCTGCCTTAGCCTCCTGAGTCACTGGGAGAACAGGTGTGTGCTCTATGTACAGCAGTCTTATTCTTAATATATGGAATACTGAGCACTGACGTTGACCCCCTATGTATGTTACTGACTCTCTGCCTATGTATGTATCTATCTTTGCTAAGAKATAATCTCTTGATGAGCAAAAGGTTTATAAATAAGATTATTTTGATTCACTTTCCCCCATCATATTAATTTGAAAAAGTAGTATCTTCTTATGAATTAGTGAAACTAAAGTAGTGGTTGAATAGAAATATGTGTTAGCCAGTCAAATAAATGAAAAGTAAAATAAAACCATGCCGCAAATTAGATTCTCAGCCTTTTAAACTGAAATAAAAATCAAGCAGCAAATGTTTTATTTTTTCACAGATGATCTTTTTTTTTAAAAAATTCCAAATAGTACTTTAAATTGTACTACTTATAGTATTTTATTTTCATCAGTTTCAAACTTTGAAGAGATGAACTTCTTAGCCTTCTTTTCAATTATTTGGGGATATAGGAAGCTAATTGACATATTTGTTTAGTGTTATTACCAGTGATATTGTTTGTTACAATCATCTCAATAGTCATTTAGTCTTTTTATTTATTATTTTTAAAATTGAAATTGAATAATTCCCCATTATCATAAACATCACTGTTCATTTTAGTAATAGTAGTTTTCAGGAGCAACATAGAGGCATGAGGTTAGCTCAGTCCCATGGTTCTTCAATAGGACGAGGTTGGGAAATAGGTTATAACGCATGTTGTAAACTCTCTTGAGAATCTGGGACCTTTCAAAATGACCTGAATAACTATGAGCAGAAAAGGAAGTGAAGACCTGCAAAGAAAAGGGTCAGCAGGAAGACCAGTTRTGACCGCCAGAAATGAAGAATCCTAAATCAGGGGAGTGGTTCTATAATTGGAAAAAAATGCACAGAAGATAAAAGTTATTGAGTAGGAATGATTAGAGGATTTGTGCWATTTTTCGATTTGGGAGCCCATCTTGACCACTGTTGACACAAACKTGAACTCAGGATTAGGTGTCTCCGGCAAGGCGTTCCTTTTTAGTAATCCACCTTATTATTTACTTTCATGGTAATGTGTGAAATTCTAAAATATCCATATCTTTTGTGGCAACTTTTAAAAATATGTAGTTATTTTAAATTGACACATACAATTGTATATATTTAGAGAATATAAAGTGGTATTTCTATGTATGAATATAATGTGTAATGATTAGACCAGGCCAATTAATGTATCCATCACCTCAAACACTGATCATTTCTTCGTGTTGGGAACATTCAAAATCCTTTCTATCCTTAGCTATTTTAAAATATACAATTTAATTGTCACTCACCCTTCAAGTCTTGGTAACCAGTCTTCTCTCTCCTCTGAGATTCGCATTTTTAGCTTCCCCCCATGAGTGAGAAGATAATTTGCCTGTGACTTCTGATCTCCTCTGATTTCACCTAATATCCTCCAGCTCATGCATGTTGCTGAAAATAATAACATTTTCTTCTTTTTCATGGCTGAATACTATCCTTTTGTGACATACCACATTTCCTTTATAAATTTATCCATTGATAGACACTTAACATGGTTCTGTATCTTCTTTAAAAATTAAAAATATTATATTAGTACCTTTTAGTTACACAAAGTAATGGGTTTCATTGTTGCATATTCATATCTGCAAATAATACTGATGATTCCATATCTTGGTTATTCCAACTAGTCTTGCAGTGAACAGCAGTGCAGAGCACTCTTCAACACACCAATTTTCTTTCCTAAACACCCAGTACTATCTAAATCTAGTCACTCTCTCAGCCCTGTTGTTAGTGACATCCTCACGATCACTCCACTATCTGCTTTATTTCCATTTTGCAGATGAAGGTACTGAGGCTGATGGAGTTATGTAACACGGCCAAAGTCACACAGCCAACAGTTTGCATGTCTTCCTGATGTCAAAACTGTCACTCTTTCTACCTCTTCCCAATCCTTCCCTTACCAGTCTTCAGGTGTGGATGATCTGTACTTGCCCTGCTTGGGGAACTCAGAAATGATAGTGTGAGAAGTTTACAACTTAAAGATTTTCCCCATTGTTGTCTCTTTATTTCCTAGTGTAACCATAATGTAAAGATTTTTTTATTATAACTGCTTTCAGTAAAGATTTTTATAGCATCTCTTAAATGTCATTTGTTTGTACTAGTGTCTACATTTCCTGAAACTTAAAATTCTCATCTACTGAATAAATGAATTAAAATAACCACTGAGGAAGTTTTTAAATGTAGCCAGATGACAGACGGAAGCCATGATGATAAGGGCAGGTTTTGTTTGAGTTGCTTTAGCTCAACAGTTAAGAACTGATAGAAGCTGTGAACTTTTGTTTTGTCCTTGCTTAAAGATGAAATTCTTTCTTTTCTAGACTCTCCCTAGGCCTAAGTCACTGGGCTAAAAATTTGGAAGTGTTCTATCCATGGGAACTATTTAACTAGAGGGGTTAGCTGTCCAGAACACAAAGCYGATGCCTTTGCTCTTTGCCTTTATCCAATTTTGTTACCATGACCTATATTTTTAACTTCATGGTCTCAGAGAGAGAACTTTCCTGTATGTATATCTGGTACTAAGATTAGATTTTCCTGTTCACCATGCATTTCAGTTTATCAATTTGACAACACATGTAGCTTTTAATCATTCATTCTGTAGTGAATGCCTACTAGGCAAAGTTCTAAGAACTGAATATAACAGGGACCAAGGCAAAGCCCCCCAAACCAAACCATTCTTCAAACATGACATGCACAAGAGTTGTATGTTGTGTTAGAAGGTAGCACATGCTATTAAAAATAGATAAAAGGAGATCTGGGGAATCAGGTGGTAGGCTGTACTGGTAGGGTGGTCGGAGAGGGCCTCACTGAGAAGGTGACATTTGATGAAGACTTGAAGGGAAGGGAGAGAGTCATGTGCAAGAAGAACATACCTGACTAATCAGCAGCTCGTGCACAGGCCCTGAGGCAGGAATGTACCTTGTGTGTTTGAGGCAGTGGGTCTCTAGGCATGGGGCTCAGAATAGCACAGCACATCACTTGGGCACATGTTAGAATTACAAATTCCTGGACCCTGCTCCAAGCCTCCTAATGCACTCAGGTTTGAAACCCACTCATTTCAGAAATGCCACTTGTGGCTAGAGCAAGTGGAAGGAGGGGAAATAGTAGGACATAAGGTCCCAGTAGTAATAGGAGAGAGGAGGCTTGGCAGAGCCTTGGAAGCCTGGGTGAGGAAGGAGCTTGCCTTCTGAGTTGAATGATCGTCCAGGGGAGGGTTTGGAGGGAAGTTGTGCATTTTAGTGCATCATTCTGGCTGCCATGTGGGAAGAGACTCTGGGGGTAAGGATGGAGGCAGGGAGACCTGTTTGTATCCTGAAATTTGAAGGAGAGGTAAGGGTGGTAGGTTGGCCCAGAGTGGTGATGTTAGCRGAAGTGAGAATGATAAGCTTCTGAATCTATTTTTGAAGTAGAGATGATAGGATTTGTTGATGAATTTGCTGTGGCGTTTGAGAGAAGAGTGACCCAGGAGGACTCACAGGTCTTGCCTGAGCTGCTGGGTGAATGAGGTCGCCSTTTGCTCAGGACGGGGAAGACAGGTTGAGTGGCCTTGCAGCAGGATCAGAAGCTCAGTTCCGCTGCTGTTGCTAAGTTGGAGACACCTCCCTGAAGCCCCAGTGGAGAGGTTGAAAGGGTACAAGGCAAGGAGCTGATGAGAAGCTCAGGTAAAGATTTGCAAATGGTCAGCACAGTGTACAGGTTTAAGACAAGACATAATCTGTCGAGTGGTTGTGGGGATAAGAGTCTCATATTCATGAGGTAAGTCCTAAAATATGTATAATTTTATTACCCTCAGGGAAAGAACTTGCATAACGGTTAACAGTGACCGTTCTGGCTTCTCCTCTTTCCTGGTATTCATGTGAGTGCTGGAAGATAACAAAAACAAACAGTCCCATTATGTTCCATAGGTTCATCATGGCATAGATTTCGGGTTCTCTCACCAGGGAGTAGAGTCTGAACCACCTGCTGCTCCATATTCAGGATGCCCAACTGAGCATTTTCCTTTCTGATGCTACTGYAGGATTTTGAGCTTGTGCCCAATGTCCAGGTGGCAGCCCCGAGTCAGACACAGAACTGCAGAAGGGCTTTCTTGTGACATTGCAGTTCGAGTCACCTTGTAGTTATATGGAATCATACTTTATTATTGCAGTTAAATTTTAGGTATATTGTCAACAGACACTATATTTAGAAAACTCTACAAATAAACTCTGTAATGAATGTCTTTGTTTCAGAAATTTTAAATGTGATTTACTCATTGCCCTTTCCATTTTTGGTTCTTTGTTTTAGGTTYGAAGTTAGGGTCTCTCGTATAACAATTTGACTTTCATGTACAACTTGGGTGCCAGAGGCACATTTTCTCTGTTGTTCCCCAGTCTCTGGGCTTCCTGCTTCCTGCTCGTTCAGTTGAGTTTCTTCCTTTCTCCTTCTCCAAACTGCCGAGTGGAAGGAATAGCCCACAAGGATAGTAGCCGTCCAAGCCTCACCCTCCTACTATCTACAGGTGATTCAGAGGATACAGAACTTCACTTCTGGAGAGACCACACCTTTCCAGGCCAAGAAGACTTTTCAATTTAAACAAAYCCACAGTAGCAGCTTAGGCTACTTGCCTAAATTTTTGTTGAGTTTCTCTTCATAGGAAAATCCCCCAAATCACTAAAAATGACTTGACTTAAAAAATAAATAAATGATAATGGGGATATCGGAAACATTTTTTTTAGCAAATTCGATATTGTGTTCTACTTGTTCTTCCTCTGTTGTTGTTGTTGTTGTTCCTCCTCCTCCTCCTCCTCCTCTTCGTCCTCCTTGATGTTAACACCTCCCACCAGTCGGCTCTGATTAATACAGTACAGAGCAGATGCTTGAGGGTAGCCATGCATGCTAACTTTTGATGCCCTGGAAAGAGTTGCTAATTTAGGAAGGAAACACATTTATATACATTTTCAGGAATTAGAGAAAGAAAGAACTCTTCTTATGGAAGATGTAACCKCGAACAAAAGGAGGATGAAGGAACTAGAAGACAATTTGCTTTGCCGCCTGACCAGTACGCAGGGGTCCCTGGTGGAGGACGAGAGTCTCATCGTTGTGCTGAGTAACACCAAAAAGACAGCTGAGGAGGTGACCCAGAAGCTGGAAATTTCTGCTGAGACAGAAATTCAAATTAACTCAGCACGGGAGGAATACAGACCTGGTGAGTCCGATAATGAAAGACAAATGTCACAGGAAAGCGCAGCGAGAAAGAAATGAGAATTACGGAAATTGAACAAAGTGAGAAGTTGCACAAATGGCTGCGYGAAGCCAGGTGGCCAATTATGTTTTGGGGATTTCTCTCGGGAATGTCAGCAAATTTGAGATGAAAAAAAAATTATATAATGGTGTAAAGTTTCTGGATGCTTATAATTCACGTTTGTTGACAAGTCCTTTAAGGTTCTCATGAACATATGCTTAATTTAGAAAAGAAAAGAAGAAGGAGATTTATTTGAAACATCTGATTGCAAGTTAGTGACATCAGAGGAGTTAGTGTGGCATGTGGACCATTGCTTATCATTTGATGATGATATGCCAGGGTTTTGTTTAGAGGGTTTGTCTTAGGAAGATGGTTCTCTGGTGCTCATCCTCAGTCACCCATTTGCAACAGGTGCTTATTGGTTATTCCCGGAATCCACTCTAAGTATTCAATGGGCTCTCCTTTAGTAAACTAACATTGTTCCTGGAAAAGAATTAAGCAATATTACTTCATCTGCTGGTGGAGAGTCAGGAGCATCATCTTTATGATGTCCTGTTTGGCAAACTTGAGGCCRAGGTTAGGCACGGACTCTTCATGGGCATCAGAATGAGGTCCTACATGGCTGCCCCACCTGCTGGGTGTTAGATATAAAACCTTTGAATCCTTTTGGTTGTCTTTTTCACCTGTGMAAAATATATTTGTAACAGATTCTAGAAGGAAAACTAACAATTGATGAATGCAAATAGGAAACTGTTTATCCATAGCTTGTAAGTTAGAATTAGATGTATTTAAACTTCAGCATTGTTCTAGATCCYGTTTCTAAGAGGCAGCCACTGATAAGACAGAAGGTGGCAAGTTGTCGTTTTCGTTAGAGTTCAGGCTGAGCAGTGTGCATGATCATTTGTTTCCCACTCATGTAGCACACACATCCCCGCTCTGTGTCTTTCAGTTGCTACGCGGGGCAGCATCCTCTACTTCCTCGTCACCGAGATGCGCTTGGTTAATGAGATGTATCAGACTTCGCTCCGCCAGTTTCTAGGCTTGTTTGACCTTTCCTTGGCCAGGTATGTCTGTAGCTCAGGAAACCACGCTGAATTCTTTATCTGTAGACTAGAATAATGACATTACGTTAAGAACTTCCTTTTTCTTTGTAAGAGTCCATTTCTTTTTTTAATCTAAGATTAATTACCAGTGTGTTCACAAATCATTCTGATTTGTCAGTTTATGAGCAGAGAAAGCTATATCTACTATTTATCCGTTGACTGGACTCCTTTGGTTTCACATGTTTCTATCAAACAACAACAAAAAAATTCCCAGGACATTGTAGTGAGTGATCAGGCCCTGCAGGTAAAATTGATTTGGACAACATGGAGGATTCTGTTATGTTGTTTCATGTTGAGAGAAAGCTTGTTATTTTAGATTCAGGAGGCTTACTCAGTGTGTGAAAATGGGAATTGGTCCTCCAGAATTACTTATTCTCCATTAAAGATGCTGTTTTTATAGGCAATTGAACAAGGCAGTGGGGATAAGCCTGATTTAAATGCTGTCTTCCTCAGATCTGTCAAGAGCCCGATTACGAGCAAGCGGATTGCTAATATCATCGAGCACATGACCTACGAGGTTTACAAGTACGCTGCCCGCGGGCTGTACGAGGAGCACAAATTCCTGTTTACCTTGTTGCTGACACTGAAGATCGACATCCAGAGGAACCGAGTGAAGCATGAAGAGTTTCTCACTCTTATTAAAGGTCAGGAGAAAGTATTGTACACAGGTGCACATGTCAGCATTAATGTGAAGGCCTTTTGCAGTATTATTATGTTGACTTTGGTTGTAACAGTTTCCTTGTATTTCACTTAAGATGCATTGGTGTGAGATATTTTATTTATTCACTTATGGAACGAATGATGAATATTTGTTGAAGACCTATTGCGTGCCAGGGCATGGAATAGGTATTTGGACATATTAATGAACCAAACTGCTTGTAGGTGTGTATATATATATATATATATATATATATATATATATATATATTTGGGGAAAATACAGAACATATAATGGAATAATAAGTAAATCATGGCTTATGTAGGAAGATAGTATTATGCAAAAACAGCAAGAAAGGGGAGAAGGAGAGTTCTAGGGAAGGGAAGGGTAGGGAAGATTTAAAACTTTTAATGGGTTATTTAATGGTGTCTTTTAGAGGTCAGGCCTTCCTTAGAGATTGGCAGGTGATCAAAGATTGGAAAGAGCGAGGACACCATCCATAGGGACATTTAGAGGAAGAGTGTCGAAGGCGGGAGACAGCTGTACGCACCTCCTGTGGTCGTCAGTGACAGAGATAAAACAAAGTGACCAGGGTCACTGGAGCAGAGTGGGTGAGGCCGTGGCAGCTCCCTCTCAGGGACTGCTTATTCTGCATCTATTGAAGCATTGCTCACAGGCGGGTCCTTTGGGCCACTGGAGCATTGCAGCTGAATGAAAGACTGGGAGATGTAAATCCACAATCGTGTTTTTGGATTTCTGGAAAGATATTTAAAGTAACCATGCGTCTTAGTTCAGGCTGCTATGACAAATTACCACAGGCRAGGTGGCTTCTAAACAACAGAGATTTATTTCTCACAGCTCTGGAGGCTGGACGTGCAAGACCACAGTGCAGCGAGGTCCGGTCGGGTGAGGGCTCTCCTGTGGGTTGCAGCTGGCCGACGTCTCACTGCAGCCTCTCATGGCAGAGGAAGTGAGCTCTCTTGTGACTCTTCCCAGAGCACGAAACTCATTAATGTCATCTAATCGTAATCACCTCYATCAGACCCACCTTCTAATACCATTACTATTAGGGTTTCAAGGCATGAATTTTGAGGGGGGCACAAGTGTTCAGAACAATGCACTCTCTAAGTGTATTTTAAATGATTTAAAACCCTTGCACAGACAGTTCACATTATCAGGTAGCTCTCGCCAAACTCTTCAAAGATTTACAACATAAACTTCCCGAAGTTTCCACCAAAACTATAAAGCAGTATACTAATAGCTTACAAATGCCAAAGGCATACAAAAACTAGTCCAACCTCTGGAAGTATCTATATTCACCCAAATACAGTAAACTGCTGAAGATGTTACAGTAATACCTATAATCTGCAGAGCGTATCATATGTACTAGGATTCATAGGAATTATGTGAATTCTTAGCAATTCTATTATGCATATCTTATTGTCCTTATTTTATAGATGTGGGAACTGAATCTTWAGAAGGTTAAATGATGTGGCTAAGACTGTGTATCAAGAAAATGGCAAAGCCAGCCTTTTAACTGGCATTGGGATGAGGTGCCTTTGGGATTAGGTCTTGGGGGCAAAGTCCTCTTTGATGTGATTTATGCCCTCATTGAAAAAYAGCTTAAGAGAGGCCTCACCCCAGTGTGAGGCTGCACTGAGAATATGGCTATGAATCAGAAAGCAAGCCCAAAGCACGTACCAGATCTGCTGGTGTGTTGATCTTGGACTTCCCGTTTTGTTTTTCCATAACCATGTTGTTTGTCAGTAGAGTCCCTCCCAGCATATCATATTCTATTATAGCAGCRTAGATGGGCTAGAACACACAGCCACAGTGTTCTGCTGCTGGTCTCCGATTAATCTCTAAGATGGCAAAGGATAAATGTAAGTGACTTTCTAAACTTGCCTTAGCTACTACAGTGCATAATTGTGTAACTTGACTTCTGTAAGTCTTTCATTATAAATGTGTCATTTTTACAAAGTATTATGGTGAAAACCCAAAGTTACTTTTCTTCTCAGAGCATGAATTTAAGGAGTGAAGGGAACAGTACCAGTCTCAGTTAGCTCTGGTATTCTGAATGAGTCCTCTGTCAGCTGTTTGTTCATCAAGAGTCTGTTTGATCGGGTGCTCCGCTATGCAGGACTGAATCTCCTCCTTCAAGACGCAACCATTCCCTTTCCCCTTCGGGTGCTTTTGGGGCAGGCAAAATCTTTACCACATAGTTGCCTTCTGCAAAACACTGAATAATGCTTTGGCCTGCAAGGAACAGCCTTTCAATAGGCTTTTCCTAACCTATATTATTCTTTTCAGTTTGTTGGAAAGTGGGCAGTTGCCATGGAAATCAGTGTGATATTTATTCAACACAATGCCATTGTCATTAGGTCTTAAACTGCTCCTGGGAGTTAAAACAATGTCTCATTTTATGAGTTAACGTTTCCATGGAAATGGCTTCAAGGCCACACTTATTTGTTGTAAATACACAAAAATGAATTTGGCAAAAGATAACAATTTAGTGGTGTACATGGTACCTGGATAAAGTAGAGAYGGGTTCAGGGTTCAGTRAGTACATTAAGTATTATTTGTTTACAACCTATTCTCTCCAGAAAAGGGCTTTACAGGCAGTCAGTTAGATTGGTTATATTCTTGTAAGAAAAATGCTTAGAATGTATTTTCCTGAAAATACTTTCATGAATGTTATTTGTTAATCACTGTATTTTATGCTGTAGATTATTTCCTAATGCTTCGTTTAATTTAAAATACGATTGTTCACACGTTGAGTTCTCCTGAAGTGGGCAACCTTAACATTTTTAAGGTTTCATTTTTCTTGTGTTGCTGTGTTAATGATAGGAGTTACATGAGCTTAGGTAGACCATCAGTAAATGTAGGCGTCAGTACCAAATGGAAATTTTTGTTGTGGTTCCATTGATTAAACCTTAGTGATTCAGCAGAGTCCCTGGGATGTGCTCAAAATGGACATAACTAATGTATTTGTTTATGAATTTAAACATATGTAGTGCTACTGACATTTCTAGGTAAATCCTGGATTTAAAATTAGCTTGCACTAGCACTAGGCCATTCTTGGTATTAACAAAAGGTGCTCATTTAGTGACCTCTACCATGTCCTCAGTCCCAGGTATGTGCTTTCCACATTTATCTCATGATWCCCAGGCTTGTTATTTCCAATTTGGAAATTGAGGCCCAGATAGATGAAATGACTTACTTGTCCTGCATCTTGTCCAGGTGGAACTTGGATAGAATCTAGCATCTGTCTTGTTCCAAAGCTATATTACTATTAAATGGATTTTTCTAAAATCAACTGTTCATTTATTACATTTTAAGCATGTTTTTTATTATGATTTCTATTTCTGTACTTAATAAGTATGAAGGTAGTAAAATAACAAATTAAAATATTCTAATGAAAATTTTATTAAATAGATTGTTTTACAGTAAAAGAACAATCTGAACTTTTTACATCTCATTTGAAGGTGGTGCCTCATTGGATCTTAAGGCATGTCCTCCCAAACCATCCAAATGGATCCTGGACATGACTTGGTTGAATTTGGTGGAACTCAGCAAGCTTAGACAGTTCTCAGACATCCTTGATCAGGTAATTTGTTCTTTGAATAGACTTAAGCTAATGTCATGGTGARCAACTTTCTGATTTATCCCTAGCTGCAATGTTTGTGGAGGAGAGAAGTTTCTTAATATTGTCAATCTCAGCTGGTATCGCACGTGCTTGACCTTGGTTGCGGCTCATCCACACTCYGAGAAAGCAAACTGCATACGTTGCAGACTGGTCCTGCAGGGGAAATGGGCCCAGGAAGTTCAACTAGTGCTGTCTTGGGGCATGTGTTGGAATCACCAGTTGAAGTTCTACAAGTAGAAAGATGATATATTCAATCAGACTAAATAATTACACATACTTAAAGTCTTTGTTTCTTTGTAGAGATTAAGTGAAAAGAAATATGAAGAACCTGCCACTGGATACTAAATTKTCCTTTCTTGCCTTTTTTCACTTTCCCTCTTCTTCTTCTTCCTCTCTTGATTCTCCTGTTACTCTCCTTTGGATGTGAACCTCATGCAAACACTTGGCCTCTTACCTTGAGCAGCTACTGTCCTTCCAAAATCACTTAGTTCCTGAGGTGTTGTGTGTGTGTTGGAATAATGGAAGTTGGGTATTGAAAGTTGAATTGGGACAAGCCAAGAAGCAAATTTTTGAATATCAGGTGACCACAGAGAAGTGGGATTGGCAGCAAGGTGGCTTTATTCAGCTCCAAGTGGCATTAAGTGTTTTYGTTGACCAGGAAATATCTTCAGGTTGGTTCTTGACCTTCCCAGTTCAAGTTAACCAAATGTTTAAGTTCTGGCATATTTTATGTTTTAGCTGGTGATGTTGTTATTACCACCTTGTAGGTGGGGTGAAAACCATTCTTTTGAATTAGATAACGTTGTGAGGTATGAATGCACTCTTGCTTTTTTCCTTTGTGGAATGACCCCCAATGACCTTTCCTGGGTCATGGTCTGCCATTGAAGTTGCTATCTCCTGGAGATTGTATCTTATGCCTGAAATCCTTCCACATTGTATGGATTTTAATGGTTGAAAGAAGTTATTTTATATTCTAACACATGCTTTCTAAATATAAATTTAGAATGTTACTTACCCCCTTTGATTGGGCCACAAAGGAAATATACTAAAACTCATAAGATTATGTTTATCTTTAGATGTTGTTTGTTCAATGTTTTTGATTTGCTTCCTCTGTAAAGCTTTTGTCTCTTTGTTTCTGAACTCTGGGGAAAATGCAATATGTCCTTTTACTCTTTACCAAATAACCTAAAGGTAGCAGGTGTTTGATCATTCATTTGACAGTGGGATTAAATGTGACACCTCAACTTATCTCACGTTAGAAGAGTATTGACTATAAACCTATTTATTCAATAGTAACCATGTATTAATGTGTCTGGAGTGGTTCTGGAAGTAAGGATACATCAGTGAATAAGGTGTGATTCCTGAACATGTGAGTATTTTGTGGAGCAAATTAGACTCYTTGTAATAGTGAAAATGAATCTTCATTTATTTCTTTATTCATTATAAATTTGTAACCATAAAGACATAAAAGAAATTGAGACTCCTAGGACTCTCCCTACTTTGGAAGGTAGCTGTTGGCTGGTGTTAATATGTAGAGTGGCTTTGGAGCTAATTACATTTGATTTTTGGACTGTTTTAGACTTTTGGGCACTAAAATAAAAAATAAAAAATTAGTAAAGGAATATGGTTCACACATGTCTAGAATGTTCAGAAGGTTTGATGAAAAATATCTGAACTACTTCTCAAAGATTTTTTTTGAGTGACGTGACACATTTCTTATGGTATTTTCAGATATCAAGAAATGAGAAAATGTGGAAAACTTGGTTTGATAAGGAAAACCCTGAGGAGGAACCTCTTCCTAATGCCTATGATAAATCTCTTGACTGCTTCAGACGTCTTCTCCTTATTCGGTCCTGGTGTCCGGACAGAACCATTGCCCAGGTAAAAAGTGTGTCTGAACAGGAAACAGGAGAAATGTTTTAAAGGAGAAATTCCCTTTAAACTCAAAGAAATATTTTAAATTTTATTAAGTAAGAATTTCCTTGTGGCCATCTAAGTAATTTTCTAGCAACACAAATGTGAAAAATGGAAGTGAACCACATACAGATGAGCCAAGGGGTATTTTTGGCTGAGTGATTTATTAACCTCTTTTGGTCCAAGAAGTTCAATGAAAGTAAAAGAGCAAAACCATGATTCTAAGCTGGCGTGTGGGCATAAAATAAAGGGAGTGCGTTATTCTTGTGGACCATTTTACTGTAACTCAAAAGTGRTATGGGTGCTCTGTTCTGCTCGTGGTAAGTCAGTGTTATTTAAGCAGGAAGAATGCAGAGGCATCAAGGAGGAGGGTGTCTAGAGGGAAGGACAGCACTTCTCTGCTTGTAGTCACTTCCCCAGAAAAATGTCAAACTCCAAATGTTAGAAAGAAAGGTGTACTAAAACTGTTCAAAGTTTCCATGTGTTTTAAGTGTGAACCTTGCCTCCAAAAGATACATCTTTTTCACGACCTTTGATCAGTTGGCTTAGTATCCTGCTGATTTGCCACTAAAAAGACTTGGGTCTTGCTTTCACCAATAAAAGTTCAGTATTGAGCATCGGTTGACCCCTCAAGGGCTTCTCTGGAGAAGCCATGGAGTACTATAGACTGGAGTCTATAATAGAACACAGGGCATTTTCCCCTCCAGTCTCCAAGGGAGTGTTAAAAAGATATGGAGTGACCACCCAGGTCCACCTAGGTMCCATGGAATCATGAAAACAGCTAGGTCCAATGATTTATTGAGAAAGGAAAAATGAGTTTTGCCACTCAGGGCACTGAGATCACTCATCTTTTCCGTTTTTCTTCTTCKACTTCATTACTTTTATTCTGCCCCAATGAATTGTCAAACAGTTGCCTTATTTCAGTGCAATATAGAAGAGAAGGTTCAGGTATAATAGTTTGTTTCTCTCTCTTTCTCTCTCTGTCCCTCTCTCTCTCTCTCTCTTCCCCCTTCCCCTCCTCCTTCTTTCTTTCTTTTTCTTTCCCCCACTCCCTTCCTACCCCTCTCTCTTCCTTCCTTTTTTCCTTTTCTTTCTTCCTCTTTCTCCCTCTCCTTCTTTCTCTCTTTTCTCATAAAAACTTTATGAGGTTCTTTGTAACTTGTCATCTTTATCTTGGCTCTGTCACCCTTGGGCTGAACAYAGCCATGGCCTTCTAAATGGTCAGCTTGGTCCCATCCTGTGTACTCTGGTCCAAATTATATATTCTGGAAGAAAYGGAATGAACCCGCCATTTCTCAGCCTTTCATGTCCTTCGGCGGCTTTCCATGGCTCTTATGGTAACACTCATGTCCTAAACAAGGTCTATAGGCCCCTCTGGAAATATGTTTTGTCCTCCTAAGATTTTATTTTCATTTTAGAGTTCTTCTTCTTTAAAAATTTCCTACCAGATGACTTCCTGGGAAGCACATTCGAAGGTCTAAAATGTAGATACATTCAATTTCCGTCCCCTGTATGTGGCGTCTGGCTTTTCATTGCTGCTTCTCTGCATTTCCACTGTGTGTGACTCGGTTCACATCAGGGTTTGCTCAGCCACCTGGTTGCAGGACTGCTACACTTCAGAGGGTGTCTCCTGCACACACACACACACACACACTGGTGACTCAGATATACTCCACAAGGGGAGGCCCGGTCAGGTGAGAGGCTCACTAGTTTACTTTCTCCCCTACTCAAAGGTGAGCCTGTTTCACTGGGAACAGACACTTGAGACAGGATGTTCTTCTGAGTTGGGTGAGGAGTAACCTGCACAATGTGGCACTCTATTTCCATTCATGCCAATGAGATGCCGGCTTCTTACAGATGGGCAGGTTGTGCAGAAGCCTGGCTGCCCACACTGAATCAGTTCTTCCACAATTTATACGGACATCCTTCTGTCCCCAGATGGTGACTTGCTCTCTTCTGCCCCCAGATTCCTGTGTATCTACCCTCTGCATAGAATGCTCACCACTCTGACCCTCCTGGCTGTCTTCTTTGCCTAGGTGAATCTACTCATAGCAGCTTAAGTGCTCCTTTCACAAGCAAACCTACTCAGTGTATTTTCATATCATTCTGCAGACTGTAAATCCTCCAAACTAGCTTATTTGCTATGGCTTGCTCAGTGTTTGTGTAATGCTGGGGAGTGGCAGGCTTCTCAAAAGCATGGTCATTTGTCTACTGTTTTGTCCTAAAATCTGTCTCTGTGCTCTGAACAGAGGAGAGGTCATGGTTTAGAGTCTATAACTGTGTAGGAGGGATATCTGCCAGGATAGAGAGAAGCAGTAATACCTATGCTGGCCCAATGAGATAACTCAGGATGTTAAATAAAAGTTAAATGTTAAATGAAAGTTGAAGTAAGAAGAGGAAGAAAGGTCCTCCTRTTGCCCGAGTTTTCTATAGTTTCACGTCAATGCCCACTACACTAGAAACTTGTCTGGAATTGTAGAGTATTCCTATGTAACATCTTTACATCATAGATTCATTGCAACTCTTTAGACTTGAGGCCATGGCTATGATTCTATATGAGAATGTCTCTTCTCCAGGAACAGGAATTTTATCCTCAGAATTCAGTCATAATTCCCATTACAGGTGAGATGGCCTTCTTCATCACCTGTTCCAGGAGTTGGCAAAACAGAGCTCACTGACAAAGATTGGCCCACTATCTGTTTATGAATAGCTTGTGAATTAAGAATCATTTTTATATTTTTAAATACTTGAAAAAGTCACAAGAATAATACTTTGTGACTTATGAAAACTATATTCCATTTACATTTCAATATCTATAAAGATTCACTTATTTTTATTGACAAATAATAATTGTATGTATTTATGGGGTACAAGGTAATATTTCATTACTGTGCATTGTGTAATCAGGCTACGGTGTTCATTGGGACATAGCTTTGCTGATTTGCTTATAAACTCCCTATGATTGCCTGCATGCTGCAAGGGAAGAATTGAAACACCTGGCCCCTGAGTATTCTAGCATGTTAGCTCTTGTCTCGTATGGTGCTGTTCATGTTGGGTCAGTGCTGACCTATATGGTGGTGTGGGCTTTGTTGGCTCTTCATTATCCTGGGGTAACAAGCACTTGAATCTTGATGTGGCACACGGTGGAGATGCTGTGATGATGGCAGGTACCTGTGGCTGAGAAACAATGTGACTCTGCCATGCCAACGTGTCCAGCTTTTGGAACCCTTCCTGACCACAGAGCTCACTGCTTCACTGATTCTGATTGAACGTGTACATAGGGCAGATTTTTGAGGAAGTCCAAGAACATGTCAGGAAAACTTTTTAAATACCTGTCAGAAGGCTGCAGAAAAATGTGTGTGCATTTAGACCCAGGTTAGAGACTTTGATACTGAATCTTGATAACCTATAAAAAATATTGAAAGGAAAGAAAATAAATGTCAACTGTGCTCCAAATTCAATTGGATTGAACTCCATCCATTTCTTCAGAACAACTCTCAACCACTAAAACTTAAGGGTGGAAAGTTGGAATGCGAGACCACTCCAAGAGCAAGGGGCCCAGGCTCCAACTGGCCATTTCAATGTAAGTGGCCTAGTTCTGCCAGCRAGTGAGGGCCCTGACTAGCACCGGGACCTTTGGGAAGCCAGTGGATAGCTTTCCCACGGCCACTACCAMCCCAACTCTAACCAGTAAAGAGGACAAACATGGTGAGGAACCTCAGATCAGTTTGGAAGCTCAGGAACTTGGGTTATGCCAATCACTTTGAAGATGAATGACAAGATATCAAAGATGAGGGAAGAGTGAGTGTATACTACCAGATGAAATCGAACTGTGGATTCTTTTAAGCCCAAGATACAGGTTTAAACAGTCTGGCCTCCTCTTGGGCCCAGGTCTAGCTGAAACCTTTTGAATTTGAGGGAAGTTCTGCTAAGTCTGTCGTGTTTCACTAGGAATAGAAGTGGGGAGATTGCACGTGTCAGATTGTTTTGAGAATGGTAATGCAGGGAATCCTACTGGGGGATGGAAACCTGGATTTTGCCCACCTGGGTTGGGAGAAGATATCAGAATTGGAAAAAGAATTTCTTTGAGAGAATCCAGTTATTTCTGAATGAAATAGAGATTAAGGGTCATATCACAATACTATTTGTTGAAAAATAAGCAGCGTTTTTTACATTGTTTGAAAAAGGACTATATTGTTATTGGAGATATTTTTATAGCAGATTATGAAGTGGATGAAGTGTGTTAATGTCATATTGTGAACATGGGTTTCATTGGAGGCAAAATTAATAAAAGGGATGAACCAAAACTGAATGATGAAAAGAAAGATGATTGAATAAATCTTTAGAAAACTAATTCATGCATTCAGTACTCAATATATTTCATTCAATACATGGTCATTCAATACTTATCTATTTGATATGTATCTATTAGATACTAGACATCATGCTATTTATTTGATTATTTAAATACATACATATATTTGTCTTATAGAATCTGAAATAATAAAGTATCCTAATATTTTTATTTCTTATGTATAGCAAGAAGCATTCTGTGTATTTTAATGGGCTCTGGACTAAGAGGCATTCAACTTGGGTTCTGATCTTTTAACAGATTTTGTTTGGCAAGTGACACAACCTCTCTGCCTATAGAATGGGAATATGAACAGCAAGCAAACAAGAAAAAGAAGTCTCTGCGCTATTGCCCTGGCAGGGTTACTAGGGACATCTTTGAGATACTTTGAAAGTTACACTGCGTTGTGTACAGAAAGGAGCTGAAGCAATTCTTGTTGACTTTGAACTGTTTTTGGCAGGCCCGAAAGTACATCATGGAGTCCATGGGTGAAAACTATGCCGAAGGAGTTATCTTGGACTTGGAAAAGACATGGGAGGAATCTGACCCACGGACGCCACTCATCTGTCTCCTCTCTATGGGCTCAGACCCTACAGAGTCCATCATTGCCTTGGGGAAGAGATTGAAAATAGAAACCCGTTTTGTGTCCATGGGCCAGGGCCAGGAGGTCCACGCACGAAAGCTCTTGCAGCAGACCATGGCAAATGTAAGACCAAATATCCCGTTTAAAAAAAATTCTCAAGATTATGATGTGGGCATTGCAGATGCTTTTCTACATATTCCATAGGTTAGATAATGAGGAAAAGATATTTCATTATGCTGAAGTTTGCCTGAATTGTTTTATACAAAGAATCTTCTTACACTCATAGTATAATTTATTCAAAAGATATGGCCTATTGTTTTCTAAGTCTTATGTTGTGAGTGGTCTGATTTCCAGGGAAGATCCTTCCATATTTTAGAGGGTATGTGTCTGGCTGGCGGTATTCCAAGAGCACAAGGGGGAAAGGTAGGTAGCAGGTCTTGACATTCAGGAGGAAAACTTTCTTTCACCTGTTTTCAGTGTGGTTATTAGACCTTCATGTGCTGATTTCTCCAGTCCAGAACCTGTTTTGCCTTCTAAATACTATAAGTGTCTCATCTTTCATTGACTTTCAATCTTCCTCTTTCAGCCCTTCTTGCCAAACTTCCAAGAGTACCTTGTGCCACCTGCTCTTGGGGGTTTGGGGAGTTATGTGACACAAATCAGCTTACACATCAGCTTTCCCCAAATACCAAATTAGGATTCAGCTTTCTTGAACCTGTTTTAAATGGTATTGAGATTATTCTCTTACTGTCTTTGTCCTTAGGAGTTCAGACTTTAAAAAGTGTCCCTTCATTATAGGGTTAATGGAATTTGTAAGGGAGCTGAGTTAAGTGGATGTTTTCAACCCACTGTCTTTACTTGGAAGTCCTAGATCTTTTTCTGTTTTACCTTGGTTATTGTGTGACTGTTACTTGGGTCATCACTGTGATTGGCATGGCAGTATACCATAAAATGCATATGGCGACACCACCAAAGCATATCTCAGTTAAATGTTACTGTATTCTCCATATGACCTGGATTAATTTAAAGTGGTTCTTGTGCTTCTTTAGCAGATTTTAGTTATTTAACTTCTAAGTTAAATTTTTTTTAATTTTTTTTCAAAAAAATTTTTTCAAAAAATTTATGGGAGAAACACAAAATAACCTAGTTTCCATTTATTGTTCTTGATTTAGGGAGGATGGGCGCTTTTACAGAACTGTCACTTGGGACTTGATTTCCTGGATGAACTCATGGACATAATTACAGAAACTGAGACAGTGCAYGGCGCTTTTCGCCTGTGGATGACCACTGAGGTTCACAAGCAGTTTCCCATTACACTCCTTCAGATGTCCATTAAATTTGCCAACGAGCCTCCACAAGGCCTCCGGGCAGGACTMAAGAGAACATATGGTGGTGAGTTGAGGAAGACTTCGGATCTATAGGTTGTTTTATTTTTATTTTTTGTACATAAAAATAAAAATAAAATTATTTCTGTGAAGGAATTATAAAAGCAGAATTAGCAAATAATACTCTTATTTAATTTGTGGAGAACAATGATCCTCTCACATCATGCTCCATGGGAAATAGGCTCTGCCGTGACCAAGCCAAGTTCACGGTTTCCCCCTTGATTTTCCTGCCATTGCTCCATGTCAGCCTATTGCTGTTCTCCACCTAGACACTGCCTTTTATGTAAACACACAGAATCAACAATTTGACTGCTTATGGCCTTTGTGCTCCATATCTAAAGTAGTACAGTAGCCTTTTCCAGGAGTAGTTTGAATTGAAAGGATGGCCTGTCTCCATCCATTAGGGTCGCCTGTCACAACATCAGCCAAGTTGAAAGATGGTGGTGACAAACAGACAAGACGGCCTCCAGTCCTGCAGGGAACTGAGATTGCGCTGCTTGTCTGCTTCTCTGCTTTGTAGTATCGGGTCTGGAATTCGTGGTCATGAAAAGAGCAGGAAACCTGGAGTCAGGAGTCTTGATTCTGTGTTTCCTGAAGACAACTGCTTTTCTTGAGTGCTAGTTGCTCAACTAATCTGAGTGTCAATTTTCTCAAATGTAAAAGAGGGACGAGAAGGTCTATCCAGGAAGATTGGAATGAATTGTAGCTAAATGAATGTGTTTAATCATTATGTTATAGTTTGAAAAATCTGCACAGGCTTTTATTGGGGGAGGTTGCTAATAAGAGTCAAATTCCTTTGACAAGGTAATATGGGGATAAAATAGAGGTGGAAGGGTAATGGCAGTAAAAAAATTAACTAATATGCAACTTTGTATATAATATAATATAATATAAGGATGATTTAGGGAATGTACCTAGGTTGCTGTGGGCTTCTAAATACATTATTTTAATTAATATTGAAGTATTAAGTGTATATGATCTGATTATATGCCCCAATAATAATGATACAATAATTATTAGTAGCAGTTATAATGCTAATAATAGCATTTATTTTAGTTGTTATTATCCTTCTATTCCTATTTTATTCTCACACTATTTTTGCTAGATTGGCAGGAGCTTGACCCACGTTAACAACCCTGCCCMCCAATATTTTTGCAGATTCTTCACAGAGGAATGGTCCCTGGACACTCAAAACTTAACTTATAATTGTCATATGTGTGTAATAAAAATTCAAAATAAATGCAGTTTAGTATCAGGAGTTTGTAAAAATRACTACTTATGAAAGAGAAAATAAAGGCATTAGAGAGAGGATTCACCTTTTCACCTGGCTGACCACACAGGTGTGAGCCAAGACCTGCTGGATGTGAGCGCGGGGGCGCAGTGGAAGCCCATGCTGTACGCGGTGGCCTTCCTGCACTCCACGGTCCAGGAGAGGCGCAAGTTTGGTCCCCTGGGGTGGAATATTCCCTATGAATTTAAYCAGGCGGACTTCAATGCCACTGTGCAGTTCATCCAGAACCACTTAGACGACATGGATATCAAAAAGGTACCGCTGTGCTTGTTGTCCCTCGTCACAGGGATTCTGGGTGAGGGTGGTCAGGCTCATGTGACTGCCTCGCTTGGGAAGCCACGTGTGAGCCATCATGATGTCACAGCAACTTGTCAAACCCACCTTTTAACTTCAGGGGAAAAAATGGAGGAATTTGCTTCTCATTTCATTTCTCAAAGTCAAGTTGACGTCCTATGTCCACAGCCTGTTGCAGGGGTGGAGGGTGGAATTAGGGGAAGGGGATTGATTTTAAATCCTAAAAATTAAAAACGAGAATCTAGAATGCTTTGGAAATGTGTGCTTTTTAAGGAACTGCCTCGGTATTCTCTCAAGAAGTAAACAATTTTCATATTAATATTAAAGTACGAAAATATATTAATGCCTCAAGAGGGTATTTCAAATCAAAAAGGCAAACTCARGTCACCCCTCCTGTCTGGCTGTTTAGTCTGCTTTCTGCTCTCTGTCTTCACTTCCTGATGACGGATGACTGACTRGAATGAAGGACTTTGATGACAATGACCATGTGGATGTCACTTGGCAGGGGAAACAAGGATGAGACAAGAGTCAGTTCTGTATAATTGTTCTGGTTTATTTTCCCAGGGCGTCTCCTGGACCACTGTCCGCTACATGATAGGAGAGATTCAATATGGAGGCAGAGTCACTGATGACTATGATAAGAGATTGTTGAACACCTTTGCAAAGGTTTGGTTCAGTGAAAACATGTTTGGACCAGATTTCAGCTTTTACCAAGGATATAATATTCCGAAATGCAGCACCGTGGATAACTATCTTCAATATATCCAGGTTGGTCAACCACAGAGTTTTTTTTTTTTTTTACCTTCTTGAGATTTATTTACATGATTTGTACAGATTTTAAAACAAACTTTAATGGAGATATATATAAATAAAAGCTTTTGCTATAAATGCTTTCTTTATATTTTTATGTTTGCTTGATTAAATGTTTATGTGCGATCTGAATGCGTTTTCTGTGAATTCTTTAGCCACTTCTCTTCTCTTTTAATCCCTTGGTGAGTTTCCTTTGGAGAGATGATGGATTGGGCAGATGTTGATCTATACCAGTCACCTGGGGCTCCCTGCCTGTGAGACTTTCGGTTACCACAGTTGCAGGGCAAGGGCAGTTTGTAGACTCAGCCTGTTCTGTTTTCCAACTCGCTTGACTGGTCCTGTGACATTCATTCCTTAATCTTGGCCTAATGGGTGYATATGGTACAACATCCAGAAACCTGCTTTGTATAGGTGCTTCCTTTAAGCCAGGGCTCCTTAACTTTAGCCCCATGACCTGTGGGGGTGTGCTATTCTCTGTCACAGGGGACTATCTTGGCATTGTAGCATGGCTGGCGGCATCCCTGGCTTCTACCCACTAGATGCCAGCAGCACCCTCCTACCCACTGTAAGAACCAGAAAACCTCTCCAGGCATTGCCACATGACCCCTGATGGGCAAAACTTTCCCATTTACAAGGAGTAATGACCTTATAAGGTAGATTTTTGTCAGTAAATTTGGAAGGGGGGCATAGGGCAAAAATCTTATTTTCAAGGTAACTATACTTTGTGTCTCTATACCTGAGTTCATTAGATCATGATTTAGCAGTCTCTTTGGCCTCTAGGATTTATCTCAGAGTAACAAGCCAAAGCACAACAGCCCCAAACGGCTACATTTATCAGTGTATTTACAGCTTTTTTTGATATATTAATGTAATGAGTTCATCATATATTACCACCTCCACACTTTTATTAATTCAAATCAACAAATATATTTGTCTTGCTGTACCGTATGTGTCTTTAAATCATTAGCAGTGTATAGGAAAAGTGCCTGTGAAGGTGTAAATTCAGGGATGCCTGTACACATTCTTTTTATATATACCTCATTTCAGAATGAAATTGAGGTAGCTCATAAGAAGATATTATGAAAAAATGAACAAAATACAGAATTAGGGAGGAAAAGTATGAACAAGACTAATAAAGTTAACAGTAAGATTCATACCTAAAAATATATATCAAATTATAAGTAAATTTCCTTTCCCTCAAAGGTCGAGGGAGTTGGCTGCCTGATTGTTCTGCTTTGGCAGTTTCTCACTCTGTATCTCTTTGTTCTTCTGTCTCTGCTCTTCTCTCAATATTTCTCTTTTTCTAGTCTCCTTCTTTCTCCCCAGGAGAGTGCGACTCCTGTGGTCTTATTCGGCATGCTTGCTAAAGTTCTCATTTCCTGGTCTCTTATAAACATCATAGCCACTAATTATACAACATTTATTTAAACTGGCGTGAATTAGATTTGACTATCAGAAGACAAAATACCAACCCACAGCTCCTTCTGTATCTCACATATTACATAATGAGGCAGTGTCTCCACTTAAGTTTTGCCAGAGGTACCGACCTTAATGAACCATGAGTCTCTTTTGGTTTTCAATGTTAAGATTTTACAAAGCATCTCTTGATTCTTTTCTTGAAAAATAATTGAGGTTGTAATCTACCTGACATAGATAAGGCATATTTAAATGCTTCTCCTAGTAGAAGCATTTTTATTTCCTAACATGTTACAGTTCAGCTGGTGCTTACATAGGCTGTGCTCATCTGGCGTGTTCACTGTTCAGAGCTTGCCGGCCTATGACAGCCCCGAGGTGTTTGGGCTGCACCCCAATGCCGACATCACCTACCAGAGCAAGCTGGCCAAGGACGTGCTGGACACCATCCTGAGCATCCAGCCCAAGGACAGCTCTGGTGGAGGGGACGAGACCCGGGAGACTGTGGTGGCACGGCTGGCTGATGATATGCTGGAGAAGCTGCCTCCAGACTACAGCCCATTTGAAGTGAGTTGACAAAATCCTGACAGAATGTCCGCTGAGGGTGTGTCTGGTTGGTTGGAGAGKGATGAAGAAGGAAGGAGGGCAAACGATGAAATAATTTCTCATGCAGACTTAAAGAGGAATGAAATCGTGGCATTGGCAGGTAAATGAATGGAGCTGGAGAATATCATGCTGAGTGAAATAAGCCAAACCCCAAAGAATAAAGGCCAAATGTTTTCTCTGATAAGGAGATGCTGAGCCATAATGGCGGGGGTAGGAAGAATGAAGGAACTTTGGATTGTGCAGAAGGGAGTGAGGGGAGGGGAGGGGATGTGGGGATGAGAAGGACTGTGGACCTTACTTTCCTATGTACATGTCTGACTACGTTACTGGCGTGACTCTGCATMGTGTTCAGCCAGAGCAAGGAGAAGTTGTGCTTCATTTGTGTACAGTGTGTCAAAATGCATTCCACATTGGGGCTGGGGTTGTGGCTCAGTGGTAGAGCACTTACCTCGCATGTGCAAGGCCCTGGGTACGATCCTCGACACCACATAAAAATAAATAAATAAATAAAATAAAGGCATTGTGTCCAACTACAATAAAAAATAAATATTTTTTAAAAATGCATTACACTGTTATATGTAACTAATGAGAGCAATTTAAAAAATATTTTATGAATATACAACCAGTGTAACTCCACATCAYATACAACCACAAGAAAGGGAAGTTATACTCCACGTATGTATGATATGTCAAAATACATTCTACTGTCATGTATAAATAAAAAGAACAAATMAAAAATTAAAAACAAGCTTCCAAAAGAACCAGAGAAAGAAGTTTTTGAATGTATGGCTGTAATCATTTCAAAATATAGATAATAAATAAATAGATGACAATGTTAACATTTATTTCTAAATTATGAGTGCTTGCTGATGATTGGGATCGCTTTTCTAGAACCTTCCCCTGTTATACTTCATAATGTCATTTGTTAAGAGGAAATCAATTTATTATTAAGGTACCAAGTGACTATATATGTGGTATAGTTAAAGATACCCCTTAAAATTCAGGCCTTTGTCATTTCAAGGAGTCTATATGTACAATATTACCTCTCTGCAACTTCTTCATCTCACTAGTTTTGAAAGTAGGTATTTTAAAATATGTAAATAGCTTCAAAGAAGATTTATAATTATGAAAGTTAGTTCTTTGGACGCTTTAATGGATTTGTGGAAAGATTTACTCTGATAGCATTTTGTTTTAGATTCTTTGATAAAACCCGCAGTAAGTGGCTTACTTACCTGGAAGAGATGACCCGGAGTAACCACATCATACTTTTGACTCAGAGTCAACATGGTGTTTTTTTTTTGTATATCATTCTTTTTCATCTGTTTTTTTTTTTAAAAACATTTTCTTAGTTGTCAATGGACTTTATTTATTTATATGTGGTGCTGAGAATTGAACCCAGTGTGTCACACGTGCTAGGCAAGTGCTCTACCACTGAGCCACAACCCCAGCCCTCCATCTGATTTTTGAAGTAATCCTGCAGTGTTCTTTGTCTTCAGCATCCTACAGTTTTCTGCTAAGCTGGAGATTTTGGTTGCTTGTGGTATAGGCTGAACTCAGAGACCTGTTGTCAAGGAGATAATTTCCCTGGATGAATCTCTGATCAGTGGCTTGGAGAAAATCAATACCATTATCAGCTTTCATAAGTACTTTTCATTATAGGATCAGGAAAGAAGTCATTCATATCTACCAGACTTTGAAATATTTATGAGGAAATTAAAACATCTACAGATAGAATAACAATTACGTAATACATGGCGAGTAAATTTAGAAGAGTCTTCCTCCTCTTGCTGATTTTTTCAGTGCCATCTTGGGATAAAGCAATTCAGCCTATCTGCTGTGCAGAAGATCCTCAAGACTTGTAGAATAGAAATGAAAGAATGGATGGAAGCTTCATGGAAGAAGCAGAAAGTCTTAAAAATGAAAGTCTAGTTTTGAGGGGACAGCCAACAGAATGATTGTGTGCATGTGCAAGTCCACCTCTACCACCACCACCACATCCACCTCTACCACCATCACCACATCCACCAAATCCATCTCCATCCACCACAACCACCTCCATCTCTACCACCACCACCACCATATCCGCCTCTATCACCACCATCAAATCCACTTCCACACACCGCCACCACATCCACCTCTGCCACTATCACTACCACCACCACCAGTACAACATCTACCTCTAATACCACCATCACCACCAACACTTCCATGTCTACCTCTACCACCACCAAATCACCTCTACCACCATCACTACCACCACCATATGTATGTGTCCATGGTTGTGTTCAGGTTGACAGTAAATGAACTTGTGTCAGTAAGTGCATTTGCTCTCTAGGAGATCTCATGGTTATGGTGATGTCTTTTACATTTTCTTTGAATTAATGTCTGTCTGCTCTTCCCTACATGCTATGAAAATTCAAGCTGGTCATCTAAGAGATGTTTTCTTTCCCATTTCTTCCTCTCCCCACCATCTACAAAATAAAACCTTAGTACTTATGGGATTGTAAAAATTTGGTCAGGGTACCAGCTCCATAAAATCTTAGTAACTGACTTATTTTTAATRAGTGCTTTGGATGTCTCTATGGCAGGTGAAAGAGAGGCTGCAGAAGATGGGGCCATTCCAGCCGATGAACATTTTCCTCCGGCAGGAGATAGACAGAATGCAGAGGGTGCTCAGCCTCGTCCGCAGCACCCTGACTGAGCTAAAACTTGCTATTGATGGCACCATCATCATGAGCGAAAATCTGCGAGATGCATTGGATTGCATGTTTGATGCCAGAATTCCTGCTCGTTGGAAAAAAGTATGTCTAACTCTGCTCTTGTTCTGCCCAGTCACTCATTAATTCTCATGTGAAAAACACCTATGAAAAATTTACTTACGTTGGTTCTTTTGCTTAGGGACTAATCATCTTAGAACCCCRAATATTAAAAGATTGCAGGTAGGGAAGAAAATTATTTAGCATATCTACATACCAGGTGCTTTAGTAAACAACGTACATACACTATTTCATTTAARTTTTGCATTTTATTGTCCTCACTTTATAGTTGAGGAACATGCAGTGGGGAAAGGCTGTCTTTCCCCAGATCACACTCCTAAGAAGTACAAGAATCAGAATTCAAACCCAAGCTCTTAGACTCCAAAGTCCAAGATGTTAAGTTTTGTAGAGAGAAATGTGCAGATATTAAAAATCATGCCAAAAAGAAAAAAATACTTTCCCTGCTGTGCCTATAAATACAGTGTATAGTGTGTCTATCTCAAAGTAAAAAGATAATAATTCAACAGCATGCTTACTGACCACCTGTTGGCAATTGTGCTGAAGACAGATGTGGTTTTGAAGAACAATTTTCCACTTGGAAAGTACAGTGAGCTCCTGAGTGTCTTTGTAAGGAGGAAGCTGAGTGTGTTTTAGGAGAGAACATTTGAGGGGCTGGRGCCTAAATGCCATCCTTTTCTTGTGCTGTATTTAAGTCTCTCTCTCTTTCTCTGTTATGTGTGCCTGCCCATTTCAAGAGAACATGCAAGTGAGATTTCTAAGGTTAATAATGATTGAGAAAATACATGGGAAAAGAGTAGGCGGTGTTACAGTGTTCTATCCCATACTTCCTGGGAAAATGGATCTGGAGCACTGCATCCTTGGAGTGTGATCCTTGCTGTCATTTGGGGGTGGCCCCACTCCCACAGCATGAGCCCAGCAAGTGCTGACCAGGCAGCTCCCTGGCCCAGTGTCTCCTCTCCCAAGAGTTTTAATTCTACTCCACTTCCCTTAGTGTGTATGCTGCACCAACCTTAAAGTCAAAAGACCAAGTAGYGGCAGGATTCTCCTCTTTGCAGCCTCAAGTTGCCAAGTTCAGGGAAGCTCGGCACACAGTTGTGTTTCCTCCAGCCGGGATCTGCTGCCTGGGAGCAAGCCGGCAAGGGATGACTGAGGTGGTTTCTTGTTGGCCAGTCAGGCCTGTGTCTCAGACTGGGTTCAGCAGAAATGTATTTTCTCACAGTGCTGGGAGCTCTGGTCTAAGATCCAGGTGTCGGTGGRGCCATGCTCCCTTCAGAAGTTCTTGAGCAAATATGTCTCTGCTTCMCCCTACCTTTGGGTGGCCCCAGGAATTCCTTGGCTTGGGCAGCCGTAGTCCCTTCATCTCTATGTGGCATTCTCCCCCTGTATATTTACATCATCTTTCCTTGAATTATTTCTGCATTTCTGTCTGTGTCCAAATTCCTTTTTTTTTTTTTTTCATAAGGACAGTGGTCACATTGGATCAGGTCCTGCACCAGTAATTTCATTTAAACTTGATTACCTCTGTAAGGACCCTATCTCCAAAGAAGGTCAGTGTCTTAGGTACTGGGAGTTAGGATTTAAATATATATTTTTTGAGGAACAGAGCAACCCACAACAGATGGAGTGGTAGCTAGATTATGGAGCTATTTGCACTGGGGGGAGATTATAACGAAGGATGAAGAGAAGACAAAATGGGAGAAAATGTATTGATGGGAAGCAAGTRATGGAACCAGGAGTCAGGGACCATGTTTAGGTTGCGAAACTGTTCTTGAATAAGTAAATTAGATATGGAGACTGTGGTGGGAGAGTCAAAAGTGGAGTTGGAAATCTTGGAGGTGGCCTATGTTGGGTTATTTTAGGGGACTAATAAAATAGCTCATTTCTTCACCTGGATTCCAAAAGAAGAGGAAGACAGGGAGCCAGGAAAACTGCAGAACATTCTGTCAGAGAGCTGTATTGGAGAATATGGATTATATCTACTTTAAGGTGAACTGCCTTAAATGGAACTTAGGAAGATTTACCCACCAGCAACACTGCACTGGGCAATGTCTCATGAACAGACCTCCCCATGAAGCTAGGAGCAGAGCAAAAYGMGTGCTCTCTGCAGACATCTTAGTCCTAAAAGAAAAAGAGGAAGAGCATGGCCTCCTCATATGTACCTCTTTCCTCCTGCTGCGGTGGCTTTCCAACCACCTGCAGCTTCACAGCCATGGCCTTGATACACATTTTAGAAGCTGATGTTACAGCAGCTCTCCACTTCATTATGCCCCTCATTAAGTCCAGTGGGTCCTTGGCTCCACATAGTGGCTCTGGGACCTATCTGGTGGAGGCCTCCCCATTGGAGAGCATGCTCCCGGGAGCACATGGCCTCTGAAGTCAGACAGCAGAGGGAAGAAAGACTGACAAGGCGTGCTGGGTCTGAACTTCCTGGGTCAATGAGGGATCCATGCCACTTCAGTCAGCATCGATGGATCTGAACGAGAGCCATGGACCAAACCTAACTGCATGGGAGACTGGGAGGGGTAGGGAGTGCATGGGATGCTGATGACCACAGTCTGCCTCTGAAACACCCACAACCCTGCCCATGTCTTGACTTCCTTGGCCTGGGGATGTGGAGGAGGTAGAGCTAATTGGAGGGTTACATAAAGGGAGTTATCTCCCCATGGAAGAAAATACAGGAGCGGAGGAAACATACTCCTCCCAGTGGGGCAGTGTTGATGACAAGTGTGGATGTGGGAGTGGGGAATGAAATGGAATGGTTAGGAAGGTCATAAGGGGTCCGGAGAGATAAGAGAGCAGAATGTTAAGAGGATGCTAATGTTACCCAGAAGGATTAATGAAAGTAAATAAATGTAGATGTGGGTATGAGTATGGGCTCTGGCCAGAATATCTGCATTCAAGTCATGACTCTTTTAAGCTTATATCATGGGATAAATTAGTTGGCTTGCTGTGCCTCAGTTCTAGTATTTGTAAAATGGAAATAACAGCATTAGGCCATTGCTAGCAAGTTTGTGCAGATTAAACGAATTGTTTTGTGTAAAGTGCTCAGAATAGTGCTTGGCACATGGCCCAGTGCTTACCTAAGTGCTTGTGATTATTATTAGCAAAACCACACTATCTACCTTCAGCACTGTTACCACAACCAACCACAACCATTACCTCTGCCACCATCATCACCACCTCTACCAAGATCACCACCACCACCACTAACATATCCACCTCCACCACAAGCATATCCACCTCTACCACCATTCCTACCACTACCACTACCACCACTATCACCACCACCTCTACCAGCACTACCACCAACACCACAACCATTGTCACTACCCACTCCCACCACCACATCCACCTCCACCACACCACCACATCCACCTCCACCACACCACCACATCCACCTCCACCACACCACCACATCCACCTCCACCACACCACCACATCCACCTCCACCACACCACCACATCCACCTCCACCACACCACCACATCCACCTCYACCACACCACCACACCACATATCCACCTTTACCACCACCATGAAAGCCACCTCCACCCACCACAGCCACATCCACCTCTACCACCACCACGTTCACTTCTACTTCCACTACCACATCCACCTTTACCACCATCACTAAACCCACCTCCACCCACCACAACTACATCTGCCTCCACCCCACCACCACCACATCTACCTCTACCACCACCACAATATCCACCTCTACCACCATCACTGCCACCACCACCACCACCACCTCCACCTCTACTACCACCACATCACCTCTACCACCATCACTACCATCACCATTATCACTCCCTGCCCTCAGGACCACAGTTATTTGGGGGATTGAGTGAAGAGTAAACTAGAATGAATAAGAGGGTGTGGTAATTAGTTGACAGAAACAAAAAGGGGTGGGGGTGGTATGTGAAGATGGCATGAGACTCAGAGGAACAGAATGATGCAAAGTGATGACCTGTTGACATCATCAGAAAGGACCAGGACTTCTACTATTGCCCTGGTTCTGAGGGCTGTGGAGGGTGAGGGAAGCAGCAGCCTACACTTTGAGAATGTTGCAAGGGGAGAACCTATCCTGGAGGAAGATTTCAGTTTAAGAGAGGGGTGGAGGAACTGTCTAGGAAAGAGATGGCAGAYTTAGAGAAGTTTTCTGCTCATGTTGCTAAAGATGCTAAAATTAGAGTGGACAGGCTTCAGAGGGCAGGAGGCTGGAGATTGGGCCAGAATGGGAGATATCCAGAGGGCAGCGGACAGCTATGAAATTGGAGACTTGGCCTCCTATAGGTTATTAGGGAAAACAGAGATGAGACAAGATGGAATTAGAACTGCTAGTCTCTTTGAGAATACTTCAGTGCCAAATCTCAGTTCTCTTACCCAGGGCTTTGGCAGATTCCAAGGCAGCGGGTCCTGCAGGTAGCATGAAATAATTAGAACTTCTTATTTCCTCCATCTTATTTGATTCCACTGTCCACTCCTCCAGTCATATGCTTAGAAACTCAGAATCATCTTTTKGGCACATTCCTTTACTTTCCATAAATTCATTGCCAAGGACAGAGAGCATTCTCAGTTTCCCCTTTTCGTTGCCAATGACAGAAGAAGGACCTTCCAGGTCACTGTCCATTGCAAGTTCATGCTCCATTAAACCAGCTCACCCAACTCCACCTGCACAGGCTCTGGAGCCAAACAGGGGTCCTTCCCAAGAGGTACCCGTTTGCTAATGGCTCCCTCTGCCCTCAGGGTAGACGTTGCATATCTCTTTTAGGTAATGACACACCTATAAAGATAGGATAGAATGAGTTACTTAATTTATAAATTATGATCTATTTATTCAGAATTTTTATTCTTCACAACTTATTATCAGTCAGTAGAATCCCAGTAGTTCTTGAAATACAGGCAAATTAATTCTTGAGATGTTTGAAATTCAAGTGGTACAGCTACCCTGGTTGATTACTGCATTTATTCATATGTAAAATATTGCAGCTCAAATTATATAAGCTATGGTTTATAGATACTACCAGTGCTGCTTCTGACAGCATTAAGGGTAGGTTCATGCCAACTGTCATCGTGGGAGTTCCCAGGTGAATTGAGGGAGAACTAGAGGCAATACATGCAAATGCTTAGTACAAAGTAAAACAACTGAGTTTCTATATTTCTGCTCCTTAATGAGCAGTAGTGTAAGTGCATTTTAAAGGGACAATGGCTCCAGAAGGAAACCTGTTGTTTACCTTATTAAAAATAAGCAGAAGAAGCCTTCTATGGTTTATTGTCCACAGAATATAAAGTGTGGATGATTTATCCTGATATGCCATGAACACATTTATATAAATAAAAATCCTATTTTTTTTACTCTATCTAATTGAAATAGTAATCTAAAAAATGCTGAGAGCTTGCTAAATTTAATGCATAAATTGTTTTGATTCCTTGATAGCATAAATGGTGAAGAAGATATTGGTATGTGGAAGCTGATTCTATTGACATCAGACATCTTGAACAGCTAGTCCTGTGAATCACATAATGATTAGCTGGTTCTGTTRTATCTTTACGTCATCAATATCATTAAGGACAAGCAACTTGAAAACCTTCCATGTCYGAACCCGAGGGGAATGCATAACTTAGGGACATTGTCACTGTAGAAGGGAAATTTGTATTTTATCTTTGGTTTCCTCTGAGCCCAATCATTTACACAGCAGAATTAAACATATTAATGAATTGTTTTAATGCATTTTAGGCTTCATGGGTTTCGAGTACGCTGGGTTTCTGGTTTACTGAACTTCTAGAAAGAAACTGCCAGTTTACCTCCTGGGTTTTCAATGGTCGACCCCATTGTTTTTGGATGACAGGCTTTTTCAACCCCCAAGGATTTTTAACAGCAATGCGACAGGTAATAAATATCTCTGATTTGCACTTGTTGTGTTGTGGTAATTTTCCTCTACCAGCTTTACTTCTTTCTTATTGTTTTAAAGAATATAATAAGACAGAGAATGACTATCTCTTTTCTGTTCCTTGCAGTTACATTGCCAAGAACATAAACACAGCCATTTATTTTCAGGCTGTTAAACTTGAATTTTTATTTGTTTGTTATTTTCATATTTGTCATAATTTCATATTTCCATTTTGAAGTATAAGTGGTTAAATTAGGCCGGTATTTTTTAAATATTTATTTTAGTTGTAGATGAACACAATACTTCTATTTATTTTTATTTTTATGTGGTGCTGAGGATCAAACCCAGTGCCTCACATGTGCTAGGCAAGCACTCTACCACTGACTCTCAACCCCAGCCCAGGACATGGGTATTTTTTTTTTTTATGAGAAAATCATCTTAATTCTTTAAATACTATTCTACTTCCTTTGGATTAGGGTAATTTGCAGCTGAAGTTTCATCATTTTTACGCTTTTTCTGTTAAGACAAAGTCTAATTATTTTCTTCCTCCTTTGCTGCCTGGAATAGGAAATAACTCGGGCCAACAAAGGCTGGGCTCTGGACAATATGGTGCTTTGTAATGAGGTCACCAAATGGATGAAGGATGATATTTCTGCCCCTCCCACAGAGGGTGTCTACGTCTATGGCCTCTATCTTGAAGGTGCTGGCTGGGACAAGAGGAACACGAGACTCATTGAATCCAAACCCAAAGTGCTCTTTGAGCTGATGCCTGTCATAAGGATTTATGCAGAAAACAACAGTAAGTTATCTTGTATATTCAGCGAGGTTGGTATTGTTACAACAGATGACATTATAAACATGGAATCTCATTATTTTTTTTTAAACCAGGTAATAGAATTTTACTGTTTTATCAACCAGCTTTATATCCACGGGTGTATTTAATGAATATTTATGGCCCTCCAGATACTTTCTCATGCTATTAGAGAGGTAATAGTTCTAGCAAGTTATTGCCTATCTAATAAAGCAGACAGTATATGTAGGGATACTCATGAAGCTTTGAGATAAGAAAGAAGAATTGGGCATAGTCGATATGTAGACGAAAGGAGGGTGAGATAATGGTAGGACCAAGAGGTCTGGGACTGGGAGTCAGGCACTGGACCTGGCTGGGCCCTGAAGGATGGGTGTGGGGAAATAGGTGAGTGGCACTCAAAGGTTTTCTAGGCAGGATGCAGGGGCTTGCCAGCTTGCAGGCTTGAAGTAGGTTGTGAAGTCCAGGTTGAGTTCGGGGGCAGTAGGTTTACTGCTACGGTTGACGATAATCTGCTGGATTTATATTTCAGCCTATGAATATAATACCAATTCTATGAAGCACATGTATTATTCCACTTTGACAAAATTATCCAAGCTTTATGTGATAAGTCTAAAAATATCAGAGCTCTTTCCCTTTGTTGGCTTGATCCATTTTGGAGGCTTTTGTTGTTGCTTTTCACTCAGTTAACCTCCTGGCACTCGCCACCTTTCTATGCAGGAGGGAATCCTGTTGAGTGTAGGGAATCCTGTTCAATGAAGTATATTTAAAAGGTATTTTCATCAGAGCCAGGCACAGTGGTGTACCCCTGCAATCTAGTGACTCAGGAGGCTCAGGCAGGAGGATTGTTTTTGTAGAGGCAAAGTCAGAAGCTCTGCAGTCAGCCATGTTCCTGGATCCCCAGGAAATACTGACTTCACAGTAGAAACAGAAACAATTATTCTCTAAAGTAGGTGGTATCCCCCACCCATCCCTTAGGCAAATAACACATTTGGAAACAGCAATCAGGAAAAAGAGTTTACAGACTGTAAATAGTTATTTTTAAGCAAGCATTTGCTGATTGGCTGATATATACCAGCCTTCACCTTAGGTGTTAGGACACAAAGATCTTGTGTCCTAACCAGATCTTGCCATAGGAACTGCAATCGAGTGAGCAAGAYCAATAAGTAAATAAATAATTAAAATGTACTTAGATAAATGTTATGATGCTTAGGGAACCACACCTTCGCCCAGTGGGTTAGGAAGAATGGTTTTAAGGGCGATGAGTATGATGGGAATTAGAGAAAGTTTTTTCTTAGCAGGGGGAAATAGCATCTGCTCACCTGGTCAATCCCCATCCTTATGGAGCTTAGTCTCAAATTAGGGGCAGAGGTAGATTGCCATACAAGAAGAAAATATAATCAGGTCTTGTTACTTGCAGCTTCTGGACTTGTGACTTCACATACATGCCAGAGTTTATATAGAATCTCCAAATCACTACTCACCAACATGCACAGAGAAACAGAAAATTTGAACTGCCCTGTCCATATGTTCCAAGTTTGAGGCTGGACAAGGTGATGCTCTGCCTTCTTATTTCAGCCCCTATATTGAAAGCTGAAAGCATCCTTTTCATGGTCTAGTTAATGCCATATTTCTGCAATTTTTGGTACTTTTTTCCCCCTTAAAATGGCCCGTTAGCATAGTGCGTATGTGCTGTCTGCTATTTCTGAGTGCAGGAAGGCTATGCCTTATGGAGAAAATATATATGTCAAACGGGCTTCCTTCAGGCAGAGAGCTCCTGCCATTGAGTCCAATGTCAGTGAATCAGAGAAGTATATTTAAAAGGTATCTTTCATTAGAGCCAGGCACAGTGTGGTGCAGCCCTGCAATCTAGTAACTCAGGAGGCTCAGGCAGGAAGATTGTTCAAAGCCAGCCTCAGTAGCTCAGCAAAGGTCTAAGCAACTTAGTGAGACTTTGTCTCACAATAAATACCCAAACAAACAAACAAACAAATAAATACACAGACTGGGATATAGCTCAATGGTAAAGTGCTCTTGAGTTCAATCCCCAGTATAAAAAAACAAACAAAACAAATCAATCAAACAAACAAAAAAACAAACAGAAACACACCTAAAATAATGTTATGGATTGACTGGTTGATGAAAATGTGACCAGTAGGAAAACTAACCTTGTATTTCCCCCAGGAGCAGTGACACAGCACTTGTTAATTTGTGTTCATGGAGACGAGAGGACATGATTATTGTGCATAATAAGAGTTGGCTGTAAATGAACACACTAGTTTCAAGTAGCTGTGGTTTCTCTGAGGAAAGCCCACACAAAACTCACCTAGGCTGGAGCGTGAGCGTTTGGAGAGAACATTGCACTGAATCCTGGTGACAGAAAGGGGCTGTGCTAAGATTCCCAGGAGGAGAGGGAAGGCTGTGCAGGCACCAAGTGGTGAGGGATGTGCTGTTTGAGGAGCAGAAGGGAGTGTGCACCTGGGGAAGAGATGGAGGGCAGGAGTAGGGACTGATGAAGTCAGGGTGCGCCCAGGACTTGACATGCGTGGGTGTCATGGGTGTCACTGTGGTACGGTGGACGGAGGGCTGAGATGGCAAGGGAGAGCATGCCAAGTACAAAGAGGAGCTTGACTTTGCCAAGGGTCTGGAGTTGCTGCCTGAGCATCGTGACTAGAGTTTTACTATGGAAGATGGATTTCCACAGGAGGATGGATGAAGAAGAAGGGAGGAGGTTCTGGGAGTGGGGAGCCCAGAGAGAGGYTATTGGATATAAAGAGCTGCGGCAGCAAAGACGGGGGAAGAGGACAGGAGCCAGGTGGACAAGAGCCATCSCCAGGACCCACAGAAGACCTGGGCATCCTTTGTAAGAGAGGAGGGAGGGGGAGGATTGAGAATGGCTTCCAGGTGCTTGGATTTCTCTTCATCAAGTGCAGATGATTGTTAATTGGGTGGAAGAGACCCTCCCACAGAAGGCCCAGGATCTTAAAGGCAGAAGGGCAGTGTCACAGAATGGGAGGAGTTCTGGTCCCTCTTCGTATGGCATTTCCTGTCACTCTGTTCCCAGTGGGGGGTGTGGCTCACAGTGGTGTTCTCCCAGTAGAATTTTACAAGAACTGAAACGGAAGCCTGATTCCTGCCACACCACCACCCATTCTGTCTAAGTTTAGGACATCATGCTGGAAGAACGTAATCTGCCAATTATGTTTCTGATCACAGGGGGGTGAGGCGAATATAATTAAGTATTTATGATTTACAGCAGACTCACTGATTCGTTCAAGGCCAGTCTTCTCGGGTCCTGGAATCCCAAGTCCATCTCASGACGTTTTTGATACCTACTCACCAGTGTACTTTTGAGTTGGCCTTAGAAGCAAGAGTGCAGATCCATTTCTCCTCAATGGAGAACAATAGAGGAGGAAAATGTCTGGCAGAGAGATGTCCAGTATGCACTTGTTTTTTTTTTTTTTTTTCAGTTAGCTATCTTTTTGTTGTTGTTGTTGTTGTTCTAATCAGTTATATGTGACAGCAGACAGAATGCTCTTAGATTTATTGTATACAATTACAGCACAATTTTTTCACTTCTCTGGTTGTACACAAAGTAGAGGCACACTATTTGTGCAGTCATACATGTACCTAGGGTAATGATGTCCATCTCATTCCACCATCATTCCTATTCCAATATCCCCCCTCCCCTTCCTTCCCTTTGCCCAATTCAAAGTTCCTGCACTCATCCCATGCTCCCGCAATTATAGATTAGCATCCACATATCAGAAAAAACATTTGGCCTTTGTTTTGGGGGGATTGGCTTACTTTGATTAGCATGATATTCTCCAACTCTATTCATTTACCTGCAAATGCCAAAACTTTATTCTCTTTTATTGCTGAGTAATATTCCATTGTGTATATATGCTACAATTTCTTTATCCATTCATCTGTTGAAGGGCATCTAGGTTGGTTTCACAGTTTGGCTATTATGAATTGAGCTGCTATAAACATTGATGTGTCTGTGTCACTGTTCATGCTATCTTTAAGTCCTTTGGTATAGAGCAAGGAGTGAGATAGATCGGTCAAATAGTGATTTCATTCCAAGTTTTTAAAGAATCTCCATACTACTTTCCAGTTTGGTTGCACCAATTTGCAGTCCCACCAGCAATGGATGAATGYGCCTTTTCTTCCACATCCTCATCGATACTTACTGTTTCTTATATTCTTGATAACTGCCATTCTGACTGGAGTGAGATGAAATCATAGAGTGGTTTTGATTTTCATTTCTGTAATTGATAGAGATGTTTTTTCATATATTTGTTGATCAATTGTATATCTTTTTTCTGAGAAGTGTCTGTTCAGTCCCTTAGCCCATTTATTGATTGGGTTATTTGTTTTTTTGGTGTTAGTCTTTTTGARTTCTTTGTATATCCTGGAGATTAATTCTGTMTCTGAGGTGCATATGGTAAAGATTTTTTCCCATTCTGTAGGCTCTCTCTTCACAATCTTGATTGTTTTCTTTGCTGAGAAGAAGTTTTTCAGTTTGATACCATCCCTTGTATGATTCTTGATTTTACTTCTTGTGCTGTATGTGTCTTATTGAGGAAGTTGGTTCCCAGCTAACATTATGGAGAGTAGGACCTACTTTTTCTTCTAGTAGAAGCATGGTCTCTGGTCCAATGCCTAGGTCCTTGATCCACTTTGAGTTAAGTTTTATGAAAAGTGAGAGATAGGGCTTCAAATTTGTTCTACTATATATGGATTTCCAGTTTTCCCAGAACCATTTGTTGAAGAGGCTATCTTCCCTCCAATGTATGTTTATTGTCTTTTATGGCTGAGTGACATTTTATATATACCATATTTTTAAATATACCATATTTTCTTTATCCATTCATCCTTTGAAGGACACCTAAGTTGGTTCTATAGTTTAGCTATTGTGTGTTGAGCTGCTATAAACATTGATATCAAAGAGTTAGGGATCAGATGTTATTACCCAATGCAACTATATG